GGAGGCAACATCTGTAGCCATACAGCCAATCCACAATTGTACCCAGTAAAACCCCACCAATTGGACAAAAGCTAATATCAGCTGCTATACATCAGAGCAGCTTCTACAATGGACACCTAAAAAAATTCTGAATTCTCCTTTACAAACAGTGAAAAGGAAGCCCACCTCCTGATCACACCTACCAAGAGGCAATTAAAATGTGCTTAAGAATACACCAACTTACATTCATCAAATTTATACAAATACAACACCATCACTATGCCTAAAAAGCAGCAAAAAACTTCTGATCACATGGAGAAATGAGACAGAATAGCTCAAACAGATGACCAAGAGAAAGAGTTAGAAAATGCCTTTGAAGGAGAAGAGGCTCTGAAATAATTCAGGAAAATGATATTGAGGTACATGCAAATGTTTCACAGAAAGGTTGAAGAAAATAAGGAAGAAGTCATAAAAGCACTATAGGAACATTCAAACATAATAGCTATAGATTTGGACACAAGACAAAAATTGCAAACAGAGCTCCAGATAACCAATACTAAAATATCAGAAAGGGCAAGGAGTAGATTTGCATCTATGGAAGCCAGAAATAGCAAACATGATGATAAATCTCTCAATACTGCTAAAATAGAAGAACAATCAGAAAAAAAGAAAATATCTGAAGAAAGCCTAAGGCAACATGAAGAGGAAGAACCTACAGGTAATTCGAATTCCAGATCAGAAAGAGTCAAAGAGAATCACAGAAAAGAAAGTTGAAAAGCTGTTAGAATCTCCATAACATCTTGAAAGACAAGAAGATAAGCATTCAAATAGTTGAATGAACCCTATGCAGGATAGACACCAAAGAAAATCACCATGATGTATCATAATGAAACTCACCAAAATCAAAGAAAAGGAAATAATCTTGAAAGTAGACAGGGAACAGGGAACAAAGAAATGTTACCTACTAAGGAAATCCAATAAGATTAACCTCTGATTTCTCAGAAGAAACCTTGCAGGCAAGAAGGTAAGAGAATCATATACAAAACTCTGAAAGTAAAACAAAAAACAAAACACCTGCCAATCAAAAATCATATACCCAGCAAAACTGTCCATGAAATATAAAGGCAAAATTAGAATATTTCAGAATAAACAGAAATTTAAGGATTTTTAAAAGTCCAACCAGTGCTTCAAAACATACTAAAAGGAGTTATTTGGACTGAGAACTAACAAGAGGAGATAACAACCAGAGATTGATGTATGTGGCAGCACCAGCCTGAACTTGGTCCAGATATGGAAGGAGTCCAAAGCAGAACAAACTTGCAAGACTGAAAATAGGGGATCTGAGATATTAGTCTAGGATCAGGACAACAACAAAGTGAAGAAAGGGAAAAACATAGTTACAGAGATCCACATGCTGAGCAGGTCAAGTAGATTTTAGGATAAAACAGACAATTTTAAAATGAGTAAGAAATTAAAAAAGTACAAAGTAATCTCAAAGAAGCTTAATGCATCTTCACAACAAGCCAAGAAAAGGAAAATCAAGAAAGAATATAAACATTATAACCATGAAGAAATTGGCAAGAAAAAAAAACACACACACAAAAATGAACTCAGTATAAGAAAGCATGCATAATGAAGAAACCAGCAGCACTATAAAAACAAATAAACAAACAGCAAAATGCCTGAAAACTGTCCATACCTTTCAGCACTTACACTGAGCATGAATTGATTAAATGCTGCAGTCAAGAGATAGAGAGTAGCAGAATGGATAAGAAAACAGGATCCTTCAATATTCTATCTACAAGAATCATACCTTACACACAAAGACAAAAATAGATGAAAAATTAAAGGATGGAAAAAATCAAGCTAATTATAATAAAAAATGAGAATCAGTGACAATATTGATCTCTGATAAATTCAACTTTAATGCAAAAACCAGCATAAGAGACAAAGAAGGACATTAACTCATGATTAAAGCGTCAATTGAATAAGAGGACATAACCATAATAAATATGCTCCCAACAAAAGAGCCTGAAAATACACAAATCAAATCCTAGTAGAACTGAAGAATGAAATGGAGATGTATACAATAATAGTGGGAGATTTTCATACACCACTTCATAACAAGGGCAGAACAACCAGAAAAATAATCAACAAAGACACAGAGGAACTAAACAACACAGTCAATCAATTTGACCTAATGTATTTGTACAGAACATTCAATCCAACAATCATACAATGCACATTCCTTTCCAGTGCACATGGAACATTCTCCAGAATTGACTATGTATTAGATCATAAAGTAAGTCTCAATAAACTTTAAAACATCAAAATACTATAAAGCATCTTCTCAGATCACAATGCTATAAAATTGGAAATCAGCAATGAAAATCAAAGAAATAAAATCAAATAAATGGACACTGAATAACACCCTGCTAAAAAAATTACTAGGTAGTAGAACAAATTTAAAAAATGAAAATTTAAAAATCGTATGAACAAATGAGAATGAAAACACAACATATCAAAATCTTTCAGATGCAGCAAAAGCAATGCTGAGAGGGCAATTTATAGCAATAATTGCATGCATCCAAAAAGAAGAAAGATCCAAACTCAACACAACATCTCCAACAATTAGAAAAAAGATCAACAAAGTAATCCTACAGCCACTAGAAGAAAATAAATAATAAAGATTGGAGGAAACATAAATGAAATAGAAAACAGAAAATCTAGAAAGAATCAATAAGACAAGAAGCTGTTTCTTTGAAAGGATTAATAAAATTGAAAAACCACTGGAAAATCTAACAAAAGAGGGAGAAGATGAAATAACACACATAAGAAACTACATGGTTGATGTCCCAACAGAACCCATGGTAATACAAAAGATAATAACAGAATACTAAGAAGAGTTGTACTAGAATATTAACCTAAGGTTGGTGATTCTAACCCAATTAGCAATGCCATAAAATTAAGGCCTGGAAATTTTCTTCTGTAAAGATTACAGCCAAGAAAACCCTATGGGAAGATTTTATTCTGTATCAAATGTATCATACTGAATTAGAACTGACTCAGTGCTACCTGGCTTGCTTTTTACACTATGCTTAGCATAGGTGACTAGGTATTTGGATCTGTGTAATTATAATCTACATTACCGCTAATTAAAACTATGCTTTTTACAATTTTAAATAGAGATTAAATGTCTCAGAAAGAGCTATCAGAAAAATTATAAAAGCAATCTTTTCCTAATAGCCTGGAGAATCCAGTCATATATATATATATTTTAAATTGCTGTATATACAGACCTGAAGTTGTTGTAGGACTTACTGTAGAGGGATATTCCAGAGGTGCTGGGGGAAAAAAAATAAGAAGTTGATTTGTTAGTTAAATTTATAGAGTGAACATATTAAAAAACTTTGAGTATAATTTGAGATGTCATTCAAGGAGCAACTGTTCCTCTAGAGTTTCCATTTCATCCTTCCTCTTGTTGAAAGATAGTTCCATTATCTTTTAATTCAATTTTCCCAGGAAATTTTTGAAGCTCTTCATATTTGACTTCCAGAATCTGCATATTCTTTGTATACAAATTGCTTATATAGAATGTTTGATTATTTTGGTCCCTATTTAAGAAAGGGACTTATTTGTTCATTATAATTTCTTCAAACAATTTATATTTAAGCCAACTATTTTAATACTAGTTACCTGGGTGACAAAAATGGTTTGAGGTTGGCTGATAATAAAAAGGTTGGCAAATCAAACCCATCCAATGAGACCATGAAATAAAAGCCTGACAATCTGCTTATGTAAATACAACAGTAAAGAAAACCAGATGTGTCTCAGTTACACTTTGTAATACATGGCGTCACCAGGAGTCAAAATTAACTGAATGGCAAATGGTTTTTGCATTTATTTGTTTGTCTTTCAATTTTATTTTTACACTACACAGACAATCTTATCACACTTAGAACCAATTGTTTTTCCATAGGAACATACAGGGGAGATTAGTAACTAAATTATCTTTGCATATAATAATTTCTACCAGAAATAATGAATTGTTGGTGTGACGTGGCATGGAGTTGGTTCAGACTCATAATGACCTTGTATAGGGTTTCCAAGGAGCTGCTGGTGGGTTTAATCTGACAACATTGCCATACGAGAAGTATAAACTACTTTTCAAATAAAACATAAAAAAAAAAAAGTCTGGATATTTTCCTGGAACTTTAACATTTTTAATAATTTTAAAACATAGTGACTCAAACATATCCTCTAAACAACTCTAATTTAATAAAGTTTCTGTTAATTCAAAGCTGTTTTTATAGTTAGTGTGTTGAGAGACATATAGTCCTCTAATCATTAGTTTTTGAAAATTTAGCATTTCTTATTCCTACAGGATTTATGGCAGTCTCATAAATTTAACATATTTATCATGAATTATTGATAAAAATATTATTCTTAGATTGCTTATTAAATTTGATGTAATAGTATACTGTAGATAAATATAAAGTTTTATATACTTTTAGCTAATGTTATCAAATTTGAAAGAACACAATATTCAATAATTACTAAACACCTGAATTTTTTAAATGTGCTATTTTTATAAAACATATTTTAACATAGTTCAACAAGTTAAAAGTAACTTTAACTTGCTGAGAGTATTTTCAACTTGAAACTGTCTTTTTCTTTTGGTTCTCAATTAGATCCTGGACCTTATCACTTGACTGTAACCTAATGAAATCTACTACTATTTCACAAAGAGAAAGTGCCTGAAAAATCAGTATGTACCTGACTAATTCAAAGAACAGTAACATTTTTAGAAGCTATATGGTATATGGTAAACATTTTTCACTAAAACTTTTAGTAAAATATAGTTTTTCTTTATTTCACTTTTTTTCATATAAATATGTTGCCTCATGAAATATGCCATATTCCTAAAGTCAAGACTGATACCACTGCTTTCCTGGTATATAGCTAGAATTTTAATTTCATAGTTTAATGATTCAAATAAATCAAATAATGTTAGCAAATACCTGTGATATTGATGCTGTTCAAATCAATATGGAAAGTGACCGGTTGGCTGGATTTATTTGCTTCAATGCCTTGTATGAGTTCTTCTTTAACATTTTCATATGACACCCATTGAGCAAATAATAGGTCAAATATGACTATAACACTGCCATTTCTACAAAACAAAAGATGATATAAGATGGAAAAATCAGCCTTATTCAATTCCTGTAATATGTCCTTTTATTCGCTACACATTATCAACTTGCTAATCCTTATTATAAAAGCACTGGTGTGGTACTGTATGATAATAACTAGACTACTAACTACAAGTTCAGCAGTTCAACCCAGTATCTTATCTAAGGGAGAAATACGAGGTTTTCTTCTCCCTTAAAGGTGCACAGCCTCAGACACCCTGTATAGGATCACTGTGAGTAGTAATCAACTTGAAAGCAAGAAATCCTGCCTACACCTGTGTAAGGTGAGTTATATCTGATATTATCTTTATTTAACAGGTGGGACAAAAGTAATTAAAAGACTAAATAAATATGTTGCCAATAACACAAAGACCTAGAGTGTACCCAGCATTGGAATCTAAATTTTCTGAGTTCCATATTAGTACACTAATAATTAAGTCATATCATTCCTAGTATGAGGTGTCAAATTTTTTTAAAAAGAAAGAAACATATAGTATTATGGCATTTATTCTAAATTTGATAATTGAAGAATGAAGAGTTTGGAGTTAAGTTTTTTTCATTAATATTTTCTATAGAAAAATCTAATGTAGTTTCCTTGATTTCCAAGATGATTCTTCTATGTAGTGTATGCAGTCCAGATAGCAGGCTAGTAGCAACTAACTCATATTTGCCTTTTCCTTCTGTTTTCAGATTGCTATAAAATATAAAAATATGTCTTGATTTCAAAGGATCATTTGGGACTCACTGGAAATTCCACTTGTCTATCATTTTGTTGTACTGTGGTGGCTTATGTGTTGCTATACTGCTGGAAGCTATGCCATGCTATTTTAAATACCAGCAGGGTATAATCAAGTGGACAGATTTCAGCTGAACTTCTAGACTAAAACAGACTAGGAGAAAAAGAGGCAGATTACTTCTGAATAACCACTGAAAACCTTATGAATAGCAATGGAACACTGTCAGATAGCACCAGAATATTGAATATAGTAGCATTATGAATATCTCCAGAATACTGAGAGATGGAATATACCAGATGAAATACACAGAAATCAAATTGACTACATATGTGCAAAAAAATGCTGGAAAAGCTCCATATCATAAGCCAAAGCAAGACCAGGAGCAGGCTGTAGAAAAGAACATAAATTACTCAAATTCAAGTTTAGGCTGAAGGTGAAGAAAAAAGTTAAAAGCCCATGAAAGCCTTGTAATACCTAAAAGGGATTCTAGAACTTGCCCAGTGAAACAGGCTTACTGTGGAGCCTTTATAGTGTATAGGACCTTAGGGGGAACCCAGAGCCCCCTCCAAAACCTTCTGAAGTGGGACATTCCCACTTGAAAGGACAATCAAACCAGCCTGGAACAGCTAGAGGAACAGAAGATACTTCTCTACAGAAAGACCAGCAGGAAAAATTCAAAAATCAAAAATGACACTCTGATTGGCTACTACAAGAACAAGCAAGTTGTTCCTTAGGGAACCATCAAAGCAAGCAATCAAGTCCCTTCAGGACAAATCCCACTCCAAGACTGAAACGAAAAAGAACACACGAGCATGTAAACTTGCTGGCGACTACATTGGTCTGCTGGTGAGTGGAAGAGGGGCAGAGGCAGCAATGAAGAAATTGAGTTCGACTATGTTTCATAGACTTCCGTCGACCTGAAGATGAAAGAGAGAAGAAGGGCTGGTTGGTCTGAAGTGTGGTGAGACCTGGGGACTCCTGAGCCCATGGAAAAGGACATAGTCATGGAAGGCTATAGCTGAGAGTGAAGTGTCCAGCTATTTCCACCAACACTATGAGAACTTAATCATATGTGCCTAATCATCTTCTTTATTTTATCCCCTTATCTTTTAAGTTGTATTAATTTTTTTTTTTCTTGGTGATTCTTTTTTCAGTTTAAAGAAACATAAAAATGAACTATTCTTTTGGCCCTGAAATAAGACTTCAGAGGTTTTCAGTCTTCTGAATATTTTATATTTGCCTCACGTTAATATGTTAGGATACAACCACTTTAGCGACAAGCTACAACTCTTATCTCTTTGTTATACTACTCAGTAAACATGAGTATTTAGAATTCACTTGGTTTCTTAAAAGAGACCACAGAGAACTGAGTTTTATATGCTATGTTTGCTCACTCAGAAATATAGAGTTACCCTCACATTCTTGTGCAATTTACAAGGCAATGACGATCTTAGAAGACTTATTCTACTCCAAAAAAATCTATATGTCCATATATGTACCCTGATAGAACCTATAATAAATGTTTGTTTTTTTCCTTAATGACTGTATATTGTTGTTTTCATTAAGTGTTGTCTAGTTGGTTCCGACTCATAGCAACCCTGTATAGGGTTTCTGAGCAGAGGCTGGTGGGTTTGAACTGCTGACCTTCCTATTAGCAGTATGCTGCTTGTAGTATCAGGATTCCTCATGACTCTCTAAGTGATTAAAATACTCTAAATTATCATGGTAGATCTGTACCTCTACTCAATAGCATGTATATATATATATATAAAGAGAGAGAGAGAGACCGACAGAATACAGTTGCTAACTCAATAATTTTTCATACAGTTCAGCCAGAGCAATTAAACCAATCATGTTGCACAGTTATCACCATTATTTGTTATCAATTTTCCCTTCTTCATAAACAGAGGATGCTCTTTTTTAATATCTGTACCACCATGTGGATTCACAGGTTGTTGCCATATTTACTGTTGAAATGAACAGAACAATATAATAATGTTTTCAAACTTAACTTCTCTTGTTGTTGCTGTGAAGTGCCGTAGTGCCTTTTCCAACTGATAGCAACCCTATATAAGGCTTCCAGGGAGTGATTGGTGAGCTTGAACCACCAACCTTGCAATTCAAACCAACTTTGGAGTCAAGTGCGTTAACCCACAACACTACTACAAGGAGTTTCAGGGTGGTACAAATGGTTATTCTAAGCTGATAATCTAAAGATTGGTGATTCAAGCTTACCCAGAAATGTATCAGAAGAAAGACATGGTGATCTACTTCTGAAAAATTAGCCAAACTCCATGGAGCAAAGTTGTATTTCAATATGCATGGGATCACACTCCATAACAACTGGTGTCTTCTAATACCAGTTCTAACACCTTCTAGTATAACTTTCTATTCATTTGCTTAAATAACAGTAACAAAATTTTGAAAGTAGATGACTTCTTAGTAACTATTTAGCTCAGGATTTCCTAACTTTTCCATACATTGAGTCAATTGTTCTTAATAAGTATATATTTTGCTTCAGATAATGTTTTTACCTACTATTCCATACCTGCCTCTTTTTTCCCTGTCCAAAATGCTTTTTTTTTTTTTTTTTCTTAACTCTCCATGTTCTCATGAATGGTGATGATCTGTCAATGATTTCCATGCCAGGAGCAGTTCTATTCATGGGCATCTGACTAGGTCCT